AAAGAGGTCCATTCTTGGGTTTTCCTGGCCATGCTGGGGTAGACTGGGGGGGGGAAGGGGCAGGGAAGGACATGGATTGGAGCCTCCCACCTTGGGAAGCTCTAATTTACCTGCCCCACTCTCCAGCACCAGCTAGGCAACCCTCAAAATTACCTCCCTCTGCTCCCTTACTCCCTTTCCCTTCTGAAAACAGTTCTGGGAACAGGGCTGGGCTGCGTCAGCCAAGCCCTGCTCCCAGTGCACAAGCACAGAAGTTAATGAAGGTGCTCTGCTTTGAAGCACCTTCATCTGAACCCCCATGTAATGAGGGTGCAGATGGTTGTGGGATCTAAAGCACTCTGCAGCCACGCACTTGTGTTTGGTCACGGCTGTAAAGCACCTTCAGGAGCCAAATGGGGCAAAAATTGTCACTTTTGCCTGTGCCTCTAAATTTCGCTTACTGCAGCTTGAGACCATTGCTCCTAGCCTTGTTCCCTACAGCCTCAAAGAAGAGTCTAAATCTCCATTCTTTCTATAATTGCTCTTCAGGTATGGAAGCCTTTTATCAATTTCTTTCCTCAGTCTTCTCTTTTCCAGATTAAATAACCCTACTTCTTTCAGTTTTTCTTCATAAATCATGTTTCCTAGGCCTCTAATCCTGGAGTCAGCAAAGTTTTTGGGCAGAGTGTCAAGAACACCTGCAACCTTGACTTGTAAGATGTTGGTGTGCCAGGGGCAGACAGCGGGGGAGCCACGATGGGCCCATTCCTTGTTGTGGCAGTATAGATCTGGCTCCTTCCCTGCCATTTACCCCGAGACATGTGTGACAAATGAAATGCCTATGCCACACCTGTGCCTGGGGTTGCCTATTCCTGCTCTAATCCTTTTTTTTTTTTTTTCTTTCAGCCGAAAACTGGACACAGTAATCATCAATGCTGAACAGAATGGCAAAATCACTTCCCTTGATTTGCAAGACACACTCCTGTTAATGCAATCCAGTATGCTACTGGCTTGTTTTGCAACAAGAGTAAAGTGTTAGCTCATATTCAGTTTATGGTCCACTGTAACTCAGGTCCTTCTCTGCAGTACTGCAGCCTAGCCACTCATTCCCCACTCTGTATTTGTGCATTTCATCCCATGTGCAGGACTTTACATTTGTCCTTGTTGAATTTTATCCAACTGATGGTGGACCATTTCTCCAGTCTATCCGCATCATTCTAGCTATCATTTCTCCAGAACATTCCCGGATCATGTCTAGGCTCATGCCTCCAGAATGTCTGCAACTCCATTCAACTTGATGTCATTCATAAATTTGCTAAGCATACGCGCTTTCATTTTCCAAACCATTAATGAAGACGTTGAACAATACCAAACCCAAAACAACCCCCTGGGGAACCCCACTCAACACGCCCTCCCAACTAGCCATTGATAACTACTCATTAAGCAAAATGATCCAACCAGTTATGTATCCACTTTACAGTACTAATCTGTAGTTCCTTAGCTTGTTAATGAGAATGCTTTGGAAGACAGTGTCAAAAGCCTTGTTAAAGTCAAGGTATATCACCATTCACTTCTCTCCCCCCCTCCCCAACACATACACAGAGCCTATCCCCTTATCATAGAAGGAAATCAGATTGGTCAGGCATGACTTGCTCTTGGTGAATCCATGATGGTTATTCTTGACCACCTTGTTCTCTTTTAGGTACTTCAAAATAGATACCTTGAGGACCTGCTCCTTGATCTTTCCACGTATCAAGGTCAGGCTGATAGGTCTGTAATCCCACGGATCCTTCTTCCCATCCTTAAAGACTAGCACTATATTTGCTCTTTTTCAATCATCTCGGACCTCACCCAACCTCCATGAGATCTCAAAGAGGATAACCAATGACTCAGAAATAACTTCAGCCACTTCTCTCAGTACCCTAGGGTGCATCCCACTTAGCCCTGCCAACTTGAAAGCACCTAGCTTCTTTATGAAATCCCTAACCTGTTCCGCCACTACTCTAGGCCAGGGGTGTCAAAGATCCAGCCTCCAAGCTGGATCTGGCCCGTGAAGCCCTAGCATCCAGCCCACAATGCTGCTTAGGGTCTGTGACCAGCACACTGCATGAAATGTGCTGGCCCCAACCCAGGGCACTTCATGCAACACAGGGAGCTCACATGGTATGGGCTGCACATGGCATGGGACCAGCACAGAGTGTGTGCTGCATATGGCCCATCTAGATAAGACCCAAAGACAAGCTGCTCATGCTGGATCCAGTGCACAGGACCAGTCTCGTGTAAGCACCATGTGCAGCATGCGCCTCAGATTGGTTCCGTGCTCCACGTGCCCTGCAAGGCTAGAGTTACCAGGTCCTGCATGCAGCATGCTGGGC